GTCATTATGGCTGTAGTCACAGAATGTCATGGCTGTGGCCACTGCTGTATCTGTGATTGTGGCTTTGCTTTGGTTATGGCTATGGCTGTGAAACATTTGTTTAGAATGGGTGTGACACTAACTACATGCAGGGGATGTGTGTGTGTGCGCAGTGAATAGTCCTGGCTGAGCAATGTATTGAAGCTACAGTATTCCTGAACTCCAGTAGAGTATTGATAACACATCTGTCATATCTGATATAAGCGCCACAGTTTAAAGAACTACTACTAATATTGATCATAATGATCACAGTTAAACAGTATGCCACTCTTTAAAAAAAAAAAAATCCTAGATGGGGGACAGAAAATCCAGAACATCCAGCCCTTCACCAAGAGAGATCTTGAGATACGTAGCCTTGGTGACCGCATCCGGGACATCAGCCACATTACACACCTGTATCCTGAATATCCAAAACACGAAGTTTTCAAAGGATTCTACTCAGGTAATGGTCTTCATGCACAGAGTCTGCTTTATGTTGTTAAGTTCAAGTAAGAACAGACAGCTAATAGAAGTATTGTTTTTTCTGCTTTTGTTTGAAACAGAGCCTCAAGCGTCACCCATCGGGGGTTATATCCCTGTGTCTCTTCAGACTAAAGTTGGCACGTAAGGAACTATTTGTGCAAATAAACCATGAAATTTGATGCATTTAAAGTCAAGTCGTATTTAGAAAAATGACACTTGGAACATGTCCTGTTTGTGTGTGTGTATGTGCAGAGAACCTGGCTCAGCCACACTCGCTGCTGCTAGTATGCAACCTCTCACTGATGGTTTCCCTCGGTAAGTGTCATATTTCTCTCTTTCACTGTATTTCCATACCACCCAGCTCACTTCCTGTCATTAGCCCTTTATGAGCTAGCAACAAATCCTCTGCCACTAGCAACATTTACATGTGTTTATGTCTGCATATTTATGCTTCCAGGATTTCCATAGGAACCCTTGAGGTAGTCAATATAATTGTTGTCCTACCTCTGAAATGAAAGCACTAAAGTATACCAGTAGTATTTATGTTATTATTGAAGGTAAAAGCCTTTATTCTTAATCTGGCCTAATGCTCCCCTATAGCACCCTAATAGATAGATAACATATTGTTCTGGTATATCTGGTGACATCCTGTATTTTGTGTATACTGTAATTCAGTATGAAATACTTGGTGTCTTAGAAGAATTAGGAATCTTGTTTAAATATATATGTTTTTTCTATAAGGGTTATGTGGCAGTAGTTGGTGGCACACTACTTTCTTCCATTTTTACTTTATTGACTTTGACTTTTGTTTACATGCAAAATTCTTCATAAACTCTTGTAAAAAAAAAGAAAATACCCAAGCAAATCAAAGGCAACTCAAAATGTGTCTGAATAGCAGCTCAGCAAAATTGTTTACATTTCAGCGCAAGTCTAATTGACTTGAATACTCTCAACTACAGCTGCCTACACAACAAAGGAAAACTTAATGTGATGCATATTTGTGTTGATATTTCAGACACCAAAATTATTTCACAGTGATTTCTCGACATTTAAAGTTTTATGTTCTTAGTTTCTTTGATCAAGTGATTGAAGCTTATATCTTGCATTGTTACTTGTCATTAATGAATGTATGGTTCGTGTTGATAGCGCTCCTGATCCTGCTCTTTCTTTTAGGCATCAGTTTCAGCAGCAGTTCAGCCCGCAGGAGTCCATCACTCAAGATATAATGGAAACCGCATCGTCTCCTGATTTCAGTCCAAACCCTGCTGCTGTCTTCTCTGAAACAATGTAGGTTTTTATCTTTATGTCTGCGTGAAATCCATTGCCATGTTGTTTGCTTTTTCCAAAACTACTTTCACACAGTGCTGAGATGCCATTATGTTTGTGTGTCTGTTTTCTAGTCCCACAGATAACAATATGGATATTTTAGACACCATTCTCAATTTAAACCCCTCACCAAAGTTGTTTTTGGACATCGAATAGAGACCAGAGCCAAACTCGTCTGTCTGACCCTCATGTGAGAAAAGTGCCGTGGTTTGTGCAGACTTTCTTCCTTCACTATCATCATCCAGCTACAGCTTCATCTACTTTCAAGTAAAAAACTTGTTGGAGACAAATTTGACAAATTTTCAACATGTTGAGCTAGTGCTACGCGGAAGCAGGAAATCATTTTTAAAACTGAAAACAAACCAGAACGAAGAGTGCTGTCATCGCTGTCCATCGCCCATCCTTGTTATCCTGCCTTTTCTCTCGCTCTCACCTGGTGGTAGGTTTGTTTCATCGTCTGTTTATACTATACTCCATACATAATAAATGGGATTTACCATAAAGATTTCAATGATTTTCCAACAACGACCAAACATGCATGAAAGCAGAAAGAGTGATCCTCCTGGACAGCAGCTGTCAGCTACTGGAAATTATTTTTTTGGGTTATTTTGTCCTCTGTACTTGATGCATGTGTTTTAGTCATGATAAGGCAAACATATTTGAATAGCATTTCCCGTTTGTATATAACCTTTCCTTGTGATTGACAAGCCTGGCTAAGCCTCAGCAATAGTATGTTATACACTTAATCTCACAGTAACACACAGTATGCATGGTAAATACTTAATAAAAGGTTTGAGAGCCTGTTCTATGGTATAGTGATAAGCTTTTCCATCACCATTGACTATTAAACTTTACCACACTGAAGGACACTTACAATGCAGCAGATGGCAAGAGTAATGACGATGGTGGTGGTGGTGGTGGTGGTGGAAAATGCTTATATTATATTTGTCTACTTAAAGACTCCATTGTGTGTATTTTCTGTTATATGTATATACTCTTAAAGTTTTTGTTAGTTAATCTCAGCCGATCATTTTTGTAAGTATGCATGAAGTCCTACTAATTGACCATAAATCTTACTGGTTACATGGTATTGAGTTTTTATTTCTCTATTTTGATGCTCTAATGCATACACAAAAAGCAGGTTGTCTGTCCGTGATATGGTCTGTATCTGTCCTCAGTCTTTGAAGTGATTAAAATGAGTAATGAAAACAGATGATTAACAGTATATTTACAACCAATTCTTCCTTTAGATGTGATTCTTAGACGTCGGATTGGATGCTGTATTCTGCAACTAAATTGATGTAATATTAGGAGTTACAGATAACATGTTAATGAGCCATTTGAATGTATTCTGTTGTTAGAGTTGTGTGGTGTGTGGAATAAAAAGCCTACCATCACTGTCAATGTTGTGCATGTCATAATACATTTGTGTTGGATGTTCCATGTTGCATGTATGTTAGCCAGATGATAACCTTTTATATCTTGTAGTTTGACTTTTAGATAAATCACTCTGAGGCTACTACTACAATCCTTGTAATCTTTTAACCGTGGTTACAAATAAAATCTTTTTCTCAAAATATGAATATGAATGTATTTACTTATTATTACTTATGTCCCTTAAATCAACTTTGTGTTTATGGCGAATTCTGGAGGAATATGTCCTACAAGCACTTGCAGAGTTCCCCTGTTGTATCACGGAAACATCCTCATCAAATTGGCAAATGTTTATGTTAATGGCTCCTGGTTTTGTTCTCATTAGTGGAATATGTTGTATATAATTATAATAATGATATGATATAATAATTTATATTATATAATGATTGTATCTAAGATTTGCTTCCACAAGCAATTGTTGGTCTGTCTCATCTGGAACCATCTATTTAAATCCCATATTTTATCATTTCTACAGTCAGTCTAAAAGAAAACAGACAAAAAAGGATTGGAAACATAAGAATTTTCTGATTTTTTTGACATATAAAAATAATAAATCAGTGGCATTGTGATTGGGAAGGTATGCCTGGTACCAAAAAGGCTGTCTATTGAATGAGAGCATATTGGTGTGTAACATAATTGGCATCACTTTCATAATCCATCAGCCAAAGAGAAGACATTGCATAACTAGCATATTATATTTCCTATCCATCCAGTTTCAACAATCATGAAATGTGTTTTTTTTAAAAAAGAAAACTTTACACTGTACATCACAAAGCTTTTCCATTAGAACACAAATTCTAATTTCAACATGTCACTAAAATGTAAATTCTACTCAACCACTGCCAGGGAAATCACACTGAAAAAAAAGGTTATGTAGATGAAGCAGAAAGAGAATCAGCTTACATGCCTGGTTCAATGCGCTGATGAAATTTGTGAAAATGCTAAACTTATCTCAGTGCCTCGTCCCCTTCCCTCCATCCCAGCAGCTTTAGATGTCCCCTCATTAGAGCAGAACAAGATGGCTGCCTCGTAAACAAAGGGAGGAGGTAGGGTGAATGAAGGAGGGATGGAAGAGAGAGGGGACACCAGGCCAATGTAGAGCTTCAACTTCAAAGTTCATTCTCTCTTGTGTAGATTGTATGAAAATAAAGGTGTACATTTATCACCCTGTACAAACACACTAAAGATTTCAGTCGCCTCACGGGTGACCTTCTTTCTTCTCCCAAAAATCAGAGAGGGGTTTGTCCAATAAAACTATCTCACTCCCAAAGAGCCACCCAGCTCAGCGTAGAAAAGAGAAGGCACCAGGTGTTTGCCAACACCAGCAACAAGCCACTACACCTCATGCACTCTTTCATTTCTAACCTCGAGTTGATGTAACAAAGATCCTTCAGTCGTGTCAAACAACACAATTCAACTAGAAAATGCTTGCTCCTCATGACAGCTTGTCAGGTTTGCTTTCTTTGTTTTTCCATGGCAGACACGCAAAAGTAAAAAGCAAACCAACTATCACACACCTGTACATGAATCTGTGATAAGCGCTGCTCTCAAAGCAAAGCTCATGTCAGAAAATCATTTAAAATGTAACCCAACAAAAATACTGTTTAAGTTCTAAATGTGGCACAAACCTGCAGATTTCCCACTTATAGACCAATGGGTAACAGATTTGTTGGCAATTATACCATTGCAAGTAATTGCAATTCTATCTCTGAAGACTGAGCTCAGAAAAGACCAGATAGTTTTGTGTTTTGTGTTTATTTTAATATAAATATGAATGTGTGTGCTTCACTAGCTGAGACACAAACTCTAAACTGAATGAATTTGGCTTTGACTCAAAGGCATGTTATTTTTGTTGGATATAAAAAGGGGATCGCTCTAAACGTGGAATCTGTATTGCAAATGTTTTCCAGAACTTTTTCAGTATCAGTGAGGGCGTGGAAAAGGCTGCATCTTTCTCTAAATGCTTGTATGAAAAAAAAAGAAGGAAGTCATGATACAGACAAAGGATTGTGGCAATGAAAAATAAAAATGATCAATTAAAACAAGCACACACGCATACACATGCACAGAGACATGCATGCACACTCACTCTCTGTCTCACACACAAACACACACACATACAACTGAAAAAAAAGAATATGAGCCAAATAAATACTGGTAAAGTACAATACGTACATGTAATTTACCCAAAGTTCATTAAACAAAACAAAACAAAGGGCGAGATCACACTGGATCAAAATGGAAAAGCATGCAGAAGTCCACTGCTCTACTGTAGCTTCACTCCTAGCAGACTACAAAATAGGGAGAAAAACAGAAAGAGAGAGAAAGGGAAAGAAAGAGAGAGAGAGAGAGAGAGAGAGAGAGAGAGAGAGAGAGAGAGAGAGAGAGAGAGAGAGAGAGAGGCCCCTGTCCTGAGCAGTTATAGCCACCTGGTCAGCCAGGAGTGACTGACTCCCCACACCACAGGGCACAGGGTGCTTCCTTCAGTGGCAAGTCTTCTTCTAACCCTCCATCTTTGTCCTGCAGTCCAAGGGGGAGGAGGAGGAGGAGGAGGAGGAGGAGGAAGGATGGGTAGAGGTGAAATCAGACGAGATGGTCAGGGCTGTGGTTGCCCCTTCACTGTAATTCAGTAGGTCCAGTTGTGGATGCAGAACAAGGATAACAAAAGTGTTTGGGATCTGTGTTAGCATGTGTGGAGGCGTGGAGGAGGTATGTGTGCAGAAATGCTTTGTGGGCTGAGGATGGACCAGGAACTGAGGGTCCAGATTGAGGGGTGAGGGGTGAGGAATGGGGGTCAGAAAGCCAATCTTCTTCTCCAGGCTTATAGGGCCTGTGTCTTGAGCTCGATGGGCTCTCCCCTGGTCTCCTGCTGGCCCTCAGCCTCTGGGGGCCGGGTGCCCTTGAGTGTGGCGAGCCTCTCGGAGAGACCACGCATACGGGGGAACAGCATAAAGTCATACAGCAGAGCCCCCATGGCACCACCAATCATGGGTCCCACCCAGTACACCTGTCATTAACAGAAAAAGACAAAAAGCAGAATGTGTTAGCGAGTCTGAAGGTGTCACACTATTGTGGATTGTAGTGTAAACAAGATTTACAGACGTGATCATCTTACCCAGTGGTTGACAAAATTCCTGACCAGGACAGCAGGAGCGAAGGACCTTGCTGGGTTCATTCCTGCTCCAGTGTAGTACATCTAAGTCAAAGACAGAGACAGTTCGGGGTTAAGACTGTAAAAGTTTATATGATACAATGCTCAGATCCTTGTATAAACCCAGTGAGCCAATTCAAACTTCTAGATCAACTTGGTTGGTTCTTACCCCAAGAAGATGTCCCATGAGCACTGAGAAGCCAATGGCCAGGGCAGCAGAGCCCAGGCGTCCATTGCGCCTTTCATCCGTCACAGCAAAGATGCAGACGACAAGCTGCAGGGTGAGGAAGACCTCCATGGTGGTGGCCATGCCCAGGCTAATACCTGGCTGCAGCTGAAAGAGGGGAGGGAAAAAGAAAGAGTGATGAAATTAGGTTTTATACATACATACATGTTGTGATTTTTCCCTTAAAATGACCTTAATGTCAGGTTTTAGATCTATACTGCCTTTTAGGCCAGAATTGGCACTTGTGTACATTGTGTACATACAGTAATATGTAATATGTATATGTAATATGTCATTTATAGTTAAGTATCTTCATACTAAACCTTCAGTGTATGTGAAAAAACGAAATTTGTAATACAGGAGACAGAGCCAGTCTGTTCACTTGTAGCCGTGGATTTAGTATTCCAGTGATAGGCAGGTAACCTTACCGTGTTGAGTGCTAGATTTCCCCTCATGTTGTTGGGTGTGACACCGTAGAGCACGGCAGCACCAGCAAGTGCTCCGAGACACTGGGCCACGATGTAGAAGAAGGCACGGAACAGCGACATCTGGGAGCCAATCAGGTAGGCAAAGGTAACAGCTGGGTTGATGTGTCCTCCACTGATGTGGCCGATGGACTGGATGAGGGTGGCAGCCGCCAGCCCAAAGCAGAAGGCCACATGGAGGACATTATGGGGCCCAGTGGTCCAGCGGAGGGCTGCCCCCAGCCCAAAGAATACAAAGAACATGGTGCCATAGAACTCAGCGAACACCGCCCGCCAAAAAGACATGGACCTGAACTCCCACATGGTGGCAAAAGATCAAAAAGGCAACCTCTAAGCAATGGAGGGATGAAAAGTCAACAGAAAAACTAATTGACAAAAGGAGAAGCTATTTCTCCACAATAAAGACCGTGTTTCAAACCAAAAAACACAGACCAAATGACACAAAATTGCCCTCAAACAGAAACTGCGTCTCTAAAGCTAAATGCAACAACACGTAAACTGCTCAACATGTAACTCTCATGCAACTGTAAACAATCTGCTGCTCTGCCTTCTGAATTTCTGTCATAGAGAGCTCCTGAGTGGAGCAATATGCCAGTCTCTGTGCATCTATGTGCCAACCCTGCTGGTTGTTAGTAGAAGAACATGGATAGACAAACGTTAAGCATGTCCTGCAGACATTCAGCCTCTTTACCAGAGCAGGGGGAGCTCAGAGGCCTTTTTATAACACCCCAGGTCCACAGCAGCCCCGCTGAGCCCAAGGGAGGGGCCAGAGCACAATACTACAAATCAAAACAAAATCATTTAACCCTTCTCCTGCCTCGACCCCCGCCTGTCTGCTCATTGTAGAAATGACTCTGAATCTGGATTAATAAGTTTAATAATATGGGAATTTGATAATTACTTATTTAGGCAGGGAAGCTCTCAACATACTGCAGCTAATTAGTTCACTTTTGAAATTTTGTGTCTTGCAGCTGAGAAATAAGTACAACATAGAAGGCTTTCTTATATTTCCCCACTGGAGGATGTGGACCACTAGTAACTGAGTACCACCAACAACCTGGTTGAAGCATTAATGCAAACAAAGTGGTAGAAAACCCCATTCATAACATCACTGAATGAAAAGCCCCCAAGAGAAACTGCCCTGACCTTCAAACATGAAAATAGAAAAGCAGTGGGTATGTTGTGGGAAGAACCTGTGAGCTGTTAGAAGTGAAGTGCAGAGGGAGTTTTGCTTGGTTAAGAATAAATTAGATATTTTTACAAGCATATAATTCATATCATTGCAATGTCTACCTTTCCCTCAGCTTGCTGTCATTGTTTTTCACTGTAATGCACAATCAACAGTTTACATTCAACCTTATCATAGCTGCAATCACCAAAGCACGAGCAATTTCTCAATTTCTCCAATTGTCCTCTGAATTGGTGCAAATTAGGTTTGTGGCAGCAGAACTGATTAGGCACAGTTTTACATTGTGTGCTGGGCGGGTTTGGAGGCTCAGGTCGGATAAAGCGGTGGAAAATCCACGGTTGGAGAGGAAGAGGGGAGAGCAGGCTTGGCATTGAGCTTCTGCACTGGAGCATCATGCTGACCAGGGCAGCCAGAGGAACAGCCGCAGTCTTTCTGAAAGGATTATGCTGAGCTCACTGCTTTTCTCCTTTCATGCATGGAAACAAAACGCTGGCAGTAACAGTTTCTGCTGGTTTCTATGATCTGTTTGTCTTTTTTCCGTCACTGTTGAATCTGTGAGTTCCCTTCTCCACAGGCCAGTGTGGCTATATATATATAGTACATATGTATATCTATTTGAGCCTCTGTGCTCACTCTCCACAGAGTTGTGCTGCAATGGAAACTGCAGAAACATCATTTTTATGTCTCAATGCATGTCGGACACTTTGGACTTTTACAAATACTGTAAAGTGTAATTTCTCAAATCCATTTGCAGCTTTGTCAACCTCAAAGCTGCAGTCAACATTCAACATGAAAAGCATGATGAACAAAATCTACCACCATTATATGATGAACACCGGTGGTTGTTGCTGGAAGAAAAAAACTTAAAAAACCCACTAAAAATAGTGTTGATCCTGTTGTCCTAATTCTGACGGTTTATTAGTTTGCCAGTTGGTGCCCTTCTATTGTGATGAGTATTATGTCCTTCTCATGACTCCCTCCATCAGTGGTAAGCCACCTTTTGTGGGGTTAAGCCCACAGTTTAGTTTTTACAGGGGAGGGTGTTGAAAAGGTGCTTGCATTGTATTTTCCTGTTCCCTCGGTCCAGACTGCTGACACATACATAATAACATGCAGCCCCTAAACATCTCACACTGGAGTAGAAGCTCTGGCCTGCACTCACCACAGAGTAGTGAAAACATGTATCGCATGACACACGAGAAGAAGGAATAAAACATATAATATGAATTATAAAACAAAAAATTCAAACATCACAGAAACTAGAGATCAAGCCTCTTTGCTAACTACTTCTGTGACAGTGAGGAAGGTTTGTACTGCTGTTGTACTGTTTTGAGAAATCACACACAGACAATAATTATTACAATAAATCATTTACATTAGAAATGTAAAGCATAAAGGAATTTCAGGCTTCAATTTCCCGTTTTTTGCACTCAGCATAAAAGTACAGAGGAAATGGGAATCCCCTGAAATGGCCTGTAGTGTAAGAGAGAAGTGAGAGTGGAACGCTCTGAAACATTAGCACTACACAGTGGTTACAAAGTGACGTTTCATGTTTTCACAGGAATAGGAAAGGTTAAAATTTGTTCAAGTCTCTTTATACAATATTCACAGGCCCATATGTGAAACTGAAAGAGCTATTAGTCATTGTAATAGTGCCTCCTTTCAACAGTGGCTATGAAGACACTCCTTCCCACACAATTCCAATGTAAGAAGCAAAATCCAAAAATACCCACTAATGTGTTAACACAAGCTAATGTGTGGCTTTTTCTTGTGTGCGTGCAAAATTCCCTCTTTGGGTTACTGTTATTGCTCCGCTGCAGCTAAGCAAGGAAACGCTGTCAAGGGAAAGAGAGGAACTGTGTAGCTTTGGAAGATAACCACTTGATTTTGTTTGACTTCTTGCCTCATTTAATCTTCAGCTGAACTTTAAAATACATTTTTGCACAGAACAATGATTTTATTCCCCATCACTCACACTGGAATTGTTTAATAATTATTTCACTCTCCGTAAACCCAAACGTAGAGTGAAAGAATTATGTCAGTGTTTTATAAACTCTGATATTTAGACCTAGTGTTGGAGAGTAACTAAGTACATAAGAGTACAACTTTGAAGTACTTGTACCTGAGTATTTCTATTATCTGCTCGTTTCTTTAATTCCAATGCATTTCAGAGGGAAATATTGTACTTTTTAGTCTACAACATTTGAGAACTTTAGTTCTGACTATATTCAGATTAATAAAACATAAATTATGTTCTGTTATACTTCAGTCCAATAATTCTAGTCTGATGATAAAATAAACATTATTCTATCATATTTTGAGTACTAGTACTCGTACTAGTATTTAAATCTATACTAGTACTAGTACTTCCTCCACCACTACTGAGATCATACTCCCACAGTACTAATAAATAATAAATCCTCAGTGTATTCTGTCTAAACTTCTTTGAATAGTTTGCTTTTTTTGGAACTTGGAAAAAGTGACGCTTCAATACTAGGCTTTGTATTCAACGGTCTGAAACAGTTTATTAGAAAACCAAACTCCCACAAGCATAAGACAACGTGTTGAATTAAACACACAAGCCTCCAAAGCATAGCTCTAGTATATCTGACTGACAAACATTTATAACTGGTATTATTTAACTTTTCTAAAAATAACTTTTGTGACATTTGCTGAAACGTTCACTATACCCTGACAATAGTTCACAACACAATCTGTGGAAAAAACAGGTTCGTCTGACTCATTTTAGTGCTCCTTATGGAATTTGCAAGAATCTGCCTTAGAAAAACTAATCAGAGCCAAGAAACATGGAAAGACACTTTAAGTTGGTGGCTTGAAGATGATTAATTGCTGAGTCTCAATCGCAGTGTCGATACTTGACGACACAGGAATGAGACTTGACAATCAGCTTTGATTGGTTGTTTTCACAAATGCCATCAAGAGCAAAAGGAGGAGCCAGAGGAACCCGTTTTATTCACTGATTTTGTGTCTCATGTACTACGGTCAGGATATAGGTAAAGTTTCAGCAAATATGACAAAAAGTAATGTTTTAAATAAAAGTTACCTAATGCAGCTTTAAACTATTTGGGAAACTCCTATTAGCCTACGAAGGATTTCTGCACTCACCTCTGGAAGAATATTTATTTTTGTACTTGCTACAATGTGCAATGTTTTGTACACTGGCATGGAGAAACAAACACATCTATGCAAAGATGTGACTACATGCAAAGATTGTACCCCTTGGATACCATAATCTCAACACAAGTTGTAAGTTGCACAAACATATGTTTATTTTAAATGCTGAAATATGTTTTAAAAAATGAAATTGTTAAATATCTGCAGATGTTGGCATACACTGGAAAACCCATTTCAAGCAGTACTCCTGCTTCTTTAAATTAACAAACAAAATAAGTGCAATTTACAATACAAACATTAAAGGGGAAATCTGTCATTAAAAAAATCTATTTTTTGGAAAATATGCATTTTGAGTTTTTTTTCTTCATTAGAAATCACAATGTTTAATACATAACCTGAAAAAAAAACAGAGAGAGAAGGTGTAAGACATCAGCACATCCCATTACAGTCATTTAAGTCAATGAACAATAACATTTTCATTTGAACAGAATTGTCCATGCAGAACAGAACAGCAAAGCACAGCACTGTATGTCGCTATGGATCTCTGTGCACGTCTGTATCCAACAGTCACTCCCTGTTCACTCCCTTGAGGGGTTTCACTTTGGAAACTGAGTAGAGAGATGAGGTTTCTTCTCCAACATGGCTGCCAACCATTGTCTAGTCTCTCTTCAACAGACTTATAACTCACTTCGTTTACTACTGAGGCAGCATCCATATTCATCTACTCAAGGTCGGGCATTTCTAGAAGACAGACAAAAGGAAAAATGTGATGTGTGAGTGATTAGATTAGACTCTAATATAATAATTCATCTTTTAATAATAATATAAACACAAATGCAAAGAAAAAATTAAGAGTTAAAGAGGTATATCATAAGAAATTAAAGAAAAAAGTGAGAACACTGCTATAACTAACGGATTAACAGATCCGATGATGAATCATATTTGTGCACAGCGCTGACTTCTCACTTCTAACCCCATGGGACTCAGTGACTACCCATTACAAAACTACTTATTTTTAACAATCGTACTTACTTTCATCATCGCTGTCTGCAGAATCATGCTGCAAAACAAAACCAAAAATAAAAAAAACAGTTCTTCCTTTACTGCTTTACATTGTGAAATTTTAATAAAGTGAAATTTACCAACACCTGCCTCTGTAATAAATGATATGAAGCACATTAAAAAAAGTATTATATTAATTAAAAAACATACCTCTTCATCTGCACCATCAGGTAGATCATCCCCTCCCATGCTGTTCATCATCTGAAGAAATGCACAGCAGACAACAATCAACACTACAGTGTAGCTGGATATTCACATGCTGCTGTTGTGCAGGTTCAACATGCTTACCTCTGAGAATTTGTCGAAACTTGACAAGTCCTCATCTGAGTCATCTTCCCAGTCTTTCCAATTATTGAAATCCACACTCAGCCAGTTGTTCTAAGCAAAGACAGATTCAAGTGTTTAAGTAAGGCGGTATTTAACATGTTAGTTTACTCCAGCTGCCTTTTCAATGTTGATATTTACTCATTTTCCAGATTGATGGCAATGAAATGAGCAGTATCTGGTTTCCAACACACCTGCACCTGAACTTCCAAGTCACTCATGTTTGGACTGAGAGGCTGTTTTAAAGATTCAAAGTTACCTTTGTCTTGTCTTTGGTAAGTCGTGGCCATGATTTGCCAGCCTCTGCTTTTCGTAAACAACACAACACAGACCTGTCAGTGCGTCTGTGTTTGGATCCCTGCATGGAACATAGTGTTTGATGAAGCCTTTGAAGGTATTTAACCACATGGTAGAACTGCAACTATGTCTACAGGTGACACACATACTTTGGGGTCAATCTCTCCAAACAGGTCCACTGTATTCTGGTGTTTGATATTATCTGTTCCACTGACACAACTGTAAGGTGAAAAGAAAAGATGTTATATTTCCTTTACACCTGTAAACAAAAGTGAAAACCAAGAACTTAGATGATTGGAGGATTGTGGAAAATTTGGGTATTGGTCACTTAGCAGTAAGGACATTAAAATTCTCAGGAATATTATCATTTCACATGAATGCAACTTACCTGAATTCAAATTTGGACTTGTCAAATTTTACTTGCACATCTTTACTGTCCTCCAAGCAGAACTCCACAAACACAGAGTCCCGTCTGTCATACCACTTAGCTGTTGCAGGCTGCCTAATGACAAAGACCAGAACAAGGTAATAAGTGAAAATCCAACTCAGTCCATAATTCACTCTAATCTGACATTATTCAAGCTTTATATTAGTGAGACATGTCACTGTCACTGTCAGGGGTGGTTATTTGCTCTGGTAGCCCACGTGTATATGGTGCAGTACATTTGAGGTCACGTTTAACTCATGCTGAGGAAAGCTTCATTCATTCACTCCAGATTAGCATGAGAGCCTCTGAAGTATCCTCTTCACCTAAACTCAACAACTGATCTCCATGTCATGAAAACGGAGCACCTGCTAACATTACAGTACAGATAATACACATATTAGAGCATCAATTAAATTGTCATATTAAGAAGGAGTCTGGCAATGCTACATTAATAGTAAGCTGTACGGTTATCCGGACGATGACCACAGTGAGGAGGAAATATATTTGACTGGATTTGGGGCAGCTTGTGTTGCATGTATCTCTGTCAAGCCAGTGTCAAGTTGGCGATCGCTAACGTTAGCTAAATGAGATCTTCCGAGCTAATCATGACACCATGCTTTTTCAGTAGCCGTTAATGTTGGTTGACATTAGCCTGCTAGCTAGCGACCACTGAACTGACATGAGGCGTGCACACACAATTAGCTCGGGGTTTATCAGTTCATGGGACACGGTGGAGCCAAATTACCTAACGCTGAAGGAAAGTTAGGTGTCGGTGGATTTCACGATGTGCTGTGCCTTTTAGCCTTGACAGCCGCGTAAGTATGACTGCTGAAGCTAACTCGTGTGCTTTAGCTCAGCTAGCTAATGTTAGCTGGTTGCTCCGCAGCACACCACACCACCAAGACTTATAAGTTAGCTACGACCGTTAACGACTACACAATAAACCCAAGACTTACATCTCCACCGTTTTAGCAATTAAACTCCCTCGTCGGACCACTATATAGATTATAGTGTTACCTAGCTGTACTGCCCGGCACCAGTGGACTGAAACCCCAAACAGTTAACTCAACCGAGGCACTCGTGTCTCCCCCAAACATCGCGTGGTTTCACTGTTCTCTCGTGACGTAGCGCCGCCCGCCCGTCACGAGCGTGGGCACGGGGTTGCTCGGCGGACCGGGGCGGTGCGGAGACCGTTCTAGAACGAGCGCGGTGGCGTGCCCGGCGTTCCAGAACGGCGCAAGAGCTCCACCGCCAGTGTGGCTCCGTGATAGACGCTCACACTGCCTGGTGGATAGGAGACAGTGAGTGAGTGAGTACCTGTAGTGTTCAGAGCCCTTACTTAGGTTAAGTAATAGGAGCAATACCACACTGCAAAATACTCCAAGCCAAAGTCTCGCATTGAAAATGTAATAGAGTATTTAACTCACCAGCAAAAAAAAAAGTATGAAGTTAAAGTTCTCAGTGCAAAACAATTGTCCTTGTGTGTGTTATTATATATTAGTGACAAGTAAAAAGTGCAATATTTTCCTCTAAATTTAATGGAGTAGAAGTATAAAGTGGCATGAAATGGAGATTGAAGTGAGTCTACCTGAAATTAAACATAAAGGTGTATCTGTGTATTTTCACCTGATAGCCCCATAGATCTTCCTGCACTAATTAATTTCCTTTATATCAATGCCATAGTAGGACCATAAGATTAAGTTGCCCATAAAGCCAATTGGCCCAGCCACCATAGTTTAACCAATACCATATAGATACCCACTGCCGGGCCTAGTGAGAGCTCAAAACACCATTTAATGTGAATACTGTAACAAGCACTGGAAAAGTGAAAAGCATACATCATCAGCTGTTGAACCAACTGAGACCCTGTAGACAATTAGCTTCAACAAGATAACATTTAAAGTCCACGTAAAGTAAATTCAGTAATTTCTCTCTAAACACATTATATGTGTCATAAAATAGTTATAGTAAATAGTAGAATTAGTGTATTGTTTTTAGACACATTTTATCACTACTATTTAAGATTTACTTGTGTCACAAATGTATGTTTTGTAATTACCCATAATATAATGCAGAACAACATAAGACCTTTTTGATCCAAAGCGGAGAAACTCACAAAAACATCCTGAAAGAAACTTTATTTCAAGGTCAAAAGAGAAGCACAAAATACATTTACTATGCTTTGGGCATTTGCAACAGCAGTTAAGGATGCAATGAAGTTAATATGGGCTTCGTATCAAGAGTAGCATGCTGATGTTGCAGGCTATTGCTTTGTACACACAGCCAGAGGCTAGACGGGTAGCATGCACCACAGTTTTTCTTGCGGGTGGTGCATGTACAGGATTCAAGTCTCGAAGCCATCACAATGGTCCATTTTTAAATTAGTGTTGTCCTACTACATACGCTGGCCTCATCGTCAGAGGCTGAAGCTGATGTTTCCCTTTGTCAGGTCAGTGTTGAGAATATGAACTGGTTATTACAACAGGTTATTAATGACATGTGCTCCCTGTATAACAGATGCCTCTTTAGCATTGCTCTCAGCCACAATATCAGAGTGAAGCTCAGCTTTGTCAGTTCAGGTCCCCATAGGATTGGATGCCGTCAGATGCACCTGCTCCTGGGGATCTTTGACTTCCAGTGTTTTTTCTTAGTGGGCCAAAGGACTCAAGCAGAAGAATATGACATGGAAACTGACATATGACTTTCAAAGTAAACGTGGGAAGCTCTAGCTGCTGTCACTTTGGGAGCAGCTTCAAGCAGTTGGACTTGGACAAGAGAGGAGCTATGGAGAGAGAGAGGAGGTATAAGGCTTGGCAGTTGTCGATAGAGCGCATGTAACAATAGCGCCAAGGCATAGAAGGAGAGCATCGGCATCAAATGAGAAGGAAATGTTCACGGATGATAACACGGATAGAAAAACAGTGCCAGGAAGCTTCTGAGTGTGTAGAACATGACTGGAAAATGTCGGGGGGGAATGGGAAGAGAATGTTTGAATGAGAAGAGCCTGGTGCAGATGAAGGGTTTAGATATGTTTAAGTTACTGGTGACAAATAATCATACCTTCTCTCCAACTTTGACCACTTTGTGCCAGACATGTGCACCAGAAGTGGAGCCAAAACAGTAGGCCTTATAGGGACACAAGGAGGGAGGAAAGACACTTTGGAGATAACAAGCTGGAGATAGTTGACAGATGGGAGTTTTTGTTGGCCACAGGAAGGCCTGGACACAGTTTAACTGCTCAGTCTCAATTTTAGCCCATTTTAAAAGAAGGGGACATGAATCCCAGACAAGAGCAAAAGACAAGATTTAAAGTTGATAGGCCTGAGCATTACTTGTAGGATCATATTATAAGAGTCATCTACAGCAAGGTATGTGGATTTATTAAATTCCCTTATATTTAGTCAGTTATGGATATTATAAAACTTCTATAAAGCAAACCAAACTAGCAGCATCAATCTCTAACTCAATTGATTTATTTCAGTAATCCAACCAATTTAAAAACGTGTACATGATCTACCTTGTAATGCTACTGGATTAAATTGTTGTTGTACCTTAAAGCCACTGAAGACAGTAGCGGCGTTGCAATTAACTAGTCTCATGAATTAGTCATCATTAAAGAAAAGAAAGATACCAGTGAATTACCTCCAGGAGCTTTCTGCAGCTGCAATGTGGTTTGAATGGGTAATAAACAATAGCTTGCTGTACTCTGGCAGATAATAATACATAATTTGGATACATTATTGTGGTCTTAAAACCTGATTTCTTTCTTCATTGTGGTCCAGTTGATAAAAGTTTGCCTACTGGCCTGATTGTAATGATGCCATGCTATTTATAGAGTTTGTCAAGCATACTCTTGAAATAAACTGATTTCACATTGTCTACATAAGTCTTCATAGCAGATAGTGTGAGGGTTTGGTTCACGTGCTCATACTTGTTGTAAGGTGTAATCTGAAATATATACGTTTACTTCTCAGAACAGAAAAGTATCACAAACTTTATAACAAATCACTAATGTACTAATTACGAAATAACAAATTATTTGATGATTTCTAGTCATAATTTTAGCATCTTTTAATAAAAGAGGAGGGTAAAAAAAACAGCAAATCCACCTTAAGATAGAATTTGTATCATCTCTATTATCCTTTTACTTAACTTCCTGAGACCTGAGCTTCTGTTTGGTGTGCATTTTTAATTTCTCCTAGCTATTTGGGATTAGTAGGACCTGATAAACATAAAAATCAAGCATTGTCTTTGAACACTTAGTAGCTTTCACAAAAAATATGAGAACATCAACATTTTATTTTCTATAAAACTTTGTCTACGTATGAGGACACAGGTTTGCAGGAGGTTAAATAGCAATAGACTTGACTGAGATGATGTCAGCCAGACACAAATCCTTGAACTGCTCCATATATTATGACTAATGGAACAACACGTTGGACACAATAACCGCAGCCATGGGTTTCTGATTCACAGCTGGATGACCTCATTTTATGGAAATCTTAACCGAAATCAACGAGCCTACAAGTGATTACGAAATGACTCAAACACGTCAGCAGCTTTAATGTAATGTTTATACCATGATGTGAAAGACCATCAGATATTAGATATCTGCAGAGGTTTGCTGAGGAAGTTTAGCTAAATGCCAGGTTTTGATTAAATTTAGATTAAACCCCCCCAATATAATCACAGTATGAAATGTGTTTTTGGGAAATGCTGTGAAATATATTGTGTGATGCAGCTGTTCTAAGCTCCTCAAGCAGGGTGATCCAAAGTCTGGGCCAACTGTCACATCATCAAATCCTCTAACCAAAAACCAAAATAGATCAGGGAAAGAGATTAAATTGTGGTTTCAGTGAAAGCCTTGCTGGTAAATTTTGCACTAGCTGCAGACTGGAGAGTCCAACTTTTTTGATGCCCTCGTGTCAGCAATGCTTTTTAATTGGAAGGAAGGGGGGAAACAGGTCAACCCTTTTCACTTCTTTAGATTAAAACCTAAAACACACAAGAATCCCAAGAAAAGCCACAGATTCCAACAGGCTTAATAATGGTTGACAGCACGATTACAGAAGTTGAGATGAACCAGGCTTAGGAAACTCTTATTATCATTAATTTGTAGATATTGAAGACACATTGTTACTTAGACCACCTCCTGTCATATGAGGTCACTTTGATACAACAACTACCTTGTGTTTGAGTGAAACTACAGCCTGGCACTAAGCGATGGGACAGTAGTGACTGACTGAAGGATCTGTGCAATGCTGCCTTTCTTGTCTTACTGGAGAAATTATTTTCTTAATCGGAAGGAAACTTGTGAATGCAATTCTGTCTCTCAGTCATTAGATTTTAGAGCCGAGAGCACCAAAGCAACACCTCTGATGGCAAAACTCTGCAATTTATTGAGTGCCAATATGTTGGTTACAGCATCTCAAATGTGCTCATATCCTTTTATTTGTGCTTTTTAGATTTTATGATTGTTGATCAAACAAAATAGACTTGAAAATAATCGTTACAGTCAGCTTTAAATAAGGATAGATAGATGGCAGTATATACTGACAGAGAGGGTTATATATGATTATTATTGAGGTTGTTGTTTGCAGTGGTGTTGAAATGGACTGCATTATATTGGAATACAACATATAATTAAATAAAATGAACACCTTTCTGACTGTCAGTCAAAACATTATCATCCATTATCATATTTGTAACAATAACAATAACAATAGGTATTATTACTATTTCAACTATATCTCTCAATCCACTTGTTGTTTTTTTAAAGATAATATTACTGAATTAAAAGGTAACTTCACTGGCTCACATAAAAAAAAAAGCTCTAGTTAAACCCAAACAACATATTCTGTTAAAAGTATCAACAATTACATCACTGCTGTCAATAAGTCAGGTTGCATCATCGTAATGAATGAGTGGGTATTCCCTCGATGACGCGTGGGCCGGACACTCGTGTGTACCTAGAGTGTATTGTTATCAATAAAGCTGTTAATCACGACAAAAAGTATGATTCACTCACAGCATTTAAAAAAAACAACACAAACCACCATTTGTGAGCCAATCATGTCAGCTCAGTGACGAACTTCCTGGTCACATTTTCTCGTAGGTCCCAGTCCCCCCTTTATTAATGGCTATGTTTGCTCCTGCACAGTCAACAGGGAGGAGGACGCGATTTAAAAAGCGAAGAAACACAGACTCGGAATGAGAAGAAAAAGCAAATAATCTGCCAGGAGAAAGAAAAAGAAAAGTCACACAGCTGAGCGTGGTCGGAGCCAGATAAGAAGAGTCACTCCAAATGGTATTTACTCTGTGATACGCCTAGCCCAAGGACGTACTGAGGAAGGCAAACACAGGCGAGACTGAGGGGACGAGTTGCGGGGATTTTTAGATGGCATTTGCCAAGGCTAGGGAAGGGCTGCGGAACACCTAGGAGAGATACGAGCTGGGAACACGTTTGGATATCATGTCTTGACCAACAAAAGAGCAATTATCCGCGGATAAACTGCAGCAGCACGTCAGAAATAAAGGCCTCCTCTGATGGAGCACTGGGCTCTTTAATCCAGCCAGAAACCCTCCCTGACGGGCAGCGACGAGCTACGGCAAAGGGTGAGGTACTGAAGTAATCGGGGGAGGAATAAAGAAAACAACAAAAAAAGAAACATTTAGATAAATGTTGCGAAAGTGAATCAAAGGCTAAGCTAATGTTGCGAAATCGCCGAATTTACCCTTGCTGCTGCGGAGAATGGCTCAGTCAAAATATCATCGCCGAGCAGCTGTGATAACGCTTGTTCCAGCCCTTCAGTTTCTCTTCCTCTCTTTTTCTGTTCAACAGGACGCTTTATTCGCAATTGAAGGGATTTATGGGATCACAAGGTAACCCTTTCAACCTAACGAAGTGTCACTCTTATGTCTGCATGTGGCTGTCAGTGGGTTTTTTCATGTTTCCCTCGTGTGACGGGGTTTTAGTTTCCTTTGTTTACAGTCTGAATCTGTGAACAGCTGATACGTCCTCCGCGATACTGCCTGTTGTGTATTTCTTTGACGTCCTGCAGCCACTGCGAATAGCGACCCATGTACAGATGTTTATTTTTATTCTTTCATGCACAGATAAACTGCAAAACAAAAACAACTGGAATTAGATTGATAACATTGCTTGTCTCTTGCATTGCCTGAGCTGTTAGGCCACGAAAAAGAAAGTAACAGCCAGCAGAAATAAAAACACTCTCTTGTAGCCACGTCTGAGCAACATAGATTACATACCCCATAATGCATTTGAATGTATCAATATGGGCTTGAGTGCAACTTCTACAATTGGATTTGCATTCACACATGTGCACATTGTGTTTGTATCTTTAGTCTAATGTGCTGATGACTTTTCTTTGTACCTCTCTGTGCAGTTTCTTCTGATGAGATGAGTGTGCGTGCTGGCCAGGGCAGTGATGAGGTACTGGTTTCGCAGGCGGTGTGGGACTACCTGGCTGCAGCTGGGCGGCCCTGGCTCATTGACTTCCAGCACAAGCAGGGGATGAGCGCAGGTATCATTAGGCGAGGAGAAAGGGGGGGCTGCTGCGCTGTGAGGCTGCAGCCGGTGGAAGGCTCCAGGAGCTCTGGAGCTGGGGTGATGGATGGACCCATCTCCAGCGAGACACGAAAAGCCTTCATTGACTTATGCCGCTGTGCCCGCAAAGAAATGAGCAAACAGGAGGGGGGACCCAAGAGGAAGAGGGCTCTGCTGCCCTGTGTGGGAGTCCTGGAGCCAAACGGAGAGGGGAGCCTGCTTCAGCCTCCACCTCCCCAGCCTCGGCGCTCCCAGAGACAGCAGCAGAGATTCAGGAAGCCTGCTGATGAGGAGGCCTGTGCCATGCTCCATGAGGTAGCCCTGAGGAAGGACATGGACTCCAGCTTGGCTTCCCATAGTGAGGCAGAGGACAACAAAACTTGCTCAATCTGCATGGGGGACATAGTGGAGAAGACGACCCTGGAGAGGTGTGGCCATTCATTTTGTCACTCTTGCCTGGATCAAGCCTTTAAGGTGAAGAAAGCGTGTCCTGTGTGTCGGCTCGTGTACGGCCAGTTGATAGGGAACCAGCCTGCCAATGGTACAATGATTGTAGAGCGAGATCCTGATCTGGAGCTTCCTGGCCATGAAGGCTATGGGTGTGTCTGCATCATCTACAGCTTCCCTCCTGGCCTACAGGCGGTGAGTAGACCAAGAGCATGTGCAGATGAAGATTGTAAGTGCCACTGGAATATGGAATAACTTGCAATTTTGACAATCATCTATGGGCATAATGAAAGTCAGTTGTTTGGGATAAATAATACAGATCATGTCAAATATTAAGATTGCATAGAATAATTTAAAAATATAATACGTTTAGGCATGAGAGTTCTTAATTTGGCATAAAATGTCAATTATTTTACTTCTTTAGTTTAATCATGATGTATACAATAACAATCTGGCCCCTCTGCTTGCTAGTGCAAATTATTGCTTTATTTTATTATTATTATTATTATTATTATTATATATTATATTTTATTATTCCTCCTTTTCCTCCTTTTCCTGATATCTGTTTGGTTATACTTCAATGATCCATCCCCTAATATCCAGTTTTTAGAGGTAAATACATCAAATTAAAGGTCCAATCTCAGGTCTAATTGTAAAGAGTCACCCCACCTCAAAAAACAAAAAATATTGTTTTATGATGCTGGTAAGGTGTGTTTATTTAATTATATTGTATGTAATTGAATAATACCGGTAAAACAGGCCTGCATTTGCAATTATTAACAAACACAAAAAGCATCCCTTTTTTCATTAATATAACAAATCTCAATCGCAAAAACCTCAATCATTTGGTGAATTTATACCAAATTTAAATGGTATTAATTAAGATTGGCCCTTTAAGGGAGCAAGCTGTTATCTCAGTCATGCTTCAGAGAAACTTTTCACTGAAAGGGGACCACGTAAAGTTTTCTTGTAAACAAATAAAAGTTATGCTTACATCTAGTATTAGCATTAAGTGCATTGTGTATCTTTGAGGTTTAACAAAGGCGTGCATGTCCTTCCTCCAGAATGATTTATATCCATGTTTACTAGCTTGGAGCCTTTTTCTTCCTTTGTTGGAGCATTGCTGCATATATTGTCTATATAAATGCCAACGTCTTTCAAATCCCCAGTTTGTGACGCAGGCTTGCTGTTAAATATTTGTAGTCCAGCACCAAGATGACCCCCAGCATTTTTACTCAGACTTTACACAGCTCCTCCCTAAGAATACATTATGAGACATTTTTTACAGACTGCTTACCCCTGAAAAGAACTGTCAACTGACCTTTATGTGTAAAGTCAGTTGAGTTTCCCTTTCCCAAAAAATGGATATAATAATTGTCTGAAGTAGCCCATATCTGTTCTTTATCTCAAGGATCAAAATTTAGAAACACAGTAACGTAAACATGTTGCAAATGTAGTTAAAAATACAAAACATGACTGGGCAACACAATTTATGTGGGAACAAAGTGTACCAGACCACAACAGACCAACACGATTGTTTTAAAGGCATTAATACCCCTTTTAAACTGATCCTGTTTTAACTGCTTTGTTGCCAACAGCCAGAACACCCCAACCCAGGTGTTCGGTACCCAGGAACAGACCGTGTGGCCTACCTCCCTGATAGCCCTGAGGGGAACCGCGTGCTGGGTCTGCTGCGCCGGGCCTTCGAACAGCGCCTTATCTTCACCATCGGTACCTCCATGACTACGGGCATGCAAAACGTCATCACCTGGAATGACATTCACCACAAGACCTCAATATGGGGCGGGCCCCGCTGGTATGTATAGCCTTTTAGCTGGAGGCGAATTGCCATTGAGATTTGATTTGGTAATAGCCTCAACAACTTCCCTAAAAGGTGTGGTAGCTGAGAAAAGGACTCAGTAAAGACTGACAGAAGTAATTCAAGTTCCTGTCAAGGAAATGCTTTCAGTTGATGTCCTTGGCTAGATGGCACTATTGCTGCCTGAGCTCATACAGATGCAGTGATGGCTTTTTTATTTCTCCTGACAGTTTTGGCTACCCAGACCCCACTTACCTGGTGCGAGTGACAGAGGAGCTCAGAGAGAAAGGCATCACGGCGGACTGACAGCATGAAAATGACAGACTCTTCCAAGACTTTGTAGGACTTTCCGAGTGTCCTTGCGGTGGACGTGACTCGGCTCCAGGTTGTGCTCTGAGACTGCCCGTCCCTTAAAAGATGGCTGAAGACAAGGCCCTCAGCAGACAGGCGTCTAATGCTGCAGCAGAGCCCACATCACTCCACTAATTGTTCCTCCGTTTCTTCATTTTTCCTCCAGAGTTCAGCTTAACCCAGTGCTACATGCGGAAGAAAATACTTTGAGTGCAGTGCATTCTTGTATTACACAGTCCTCTACCTGTCACTGTTGGCAATAGGACTGATATCTGATGCACTTATTTAAGAGCGTTGTGTTGGTGTGTTGGAATTCATGGTACTTATATATTATTTAGGAAATCTAAGTTTAATGTTATAAAGACAGTTTATGTTATATTAATGTTTATTTCTACTCTGGGGATTATTTTATTCCTTACAAGCACATGTTCTTGGTTTTATCCCCCCAGAAATGTTTGTTGAGTAAGTCTCTAATTTGATTGTTACTAATTACCTGTTGTAAGGATAGTACTTGGGTTATATGGCAGAATAGCACTGCTTCAATAGAAAGAATTCATTTTCTGAAGTTATTGCAATCTAAAGCACTCACAGGCACTTTGGTATGGGAGTTTGTTTTTCAGTGAAGTCGTCGTCGTCATTATTGCTTCCTCTGTGGAAGAGAGCTCGGGGCAAACAGGTTCGCGCAGCCGTCAGCTATTAGCTTGATGGCTACAAGTTGATGTCAATTGCTTGGAACTCTTCATTTGTGTGTGATCTTCATTTTCCCCCCATTTGTACTGAAATAGGAAGAATGTTAAACTGTCTTGTTGCAGCACCTTTTATTACACACATTAGGACTTTCCCCTGGGGTTTTTTGCCATCGGTCACTCCTGTTATTTTAAGATGTCTCCCAGGTGTTGAGCCCATTACCTCAGTTGTTAGTAATGTGCTCATCTAATTACCAGATTTATGACGATGTCAAATAAAAAGGGCATATAGACCACTTAAACCAAATGAAAGGCACAAAAGCTCTTTAAATATCTATGCCTCTGTCCCTGTCAAACTGGGAGATTTGCCTGATTTGCTTGCCTGTTCTCATTTAAAATGAGGTAACTGTTGTGAATTTTGTTTATCTAAATAGATAATCAATAATGCACAGTGAAAAAATATAAGACAATGTTGCGGGAACAATTGATTCGATTTAGGGTGGGGTATTGATCTCATTTTGTTGTGCCTTTCTTATATTCACTTTTGATAAAACTCGAGCATGATGTTACTAATGAACAATAAGCAGTTTGGGCGTATTTCGGTGTTATTTGATAGATAAACAGCATTATGTTTGTAGCTAAACTATCTGGCTTTAAATAAAAAATACTACACAGTTCATGAAAATATGTATAATGTACATTAAATTAGCTTCTCCTTCATAAACATTCTTGTAGTCCAAATGCTGAAAACCCCCCTCAGAATTGATAAAGCTGTATGTGTGAAAGTGCTTTGCTGAGTGCAGTAACCTGCTTGGCTAGTGGTACATTTGTCATTAATTTGACTGGTCAGATCTATACATCAAATACCCTTTTTATTATGTTTTCATCTACTTTGTATTTTAGTTAAGGGACCAACTGAAATCATTTTGGGACACAGGATTGTAGTTTACTAAAGCTACTGTGCAAACATTTCTATGCATTACATAAGTGAGGAGGAGCCAGGAGAAAGGATAGTTTGAGCGATTACACATATTACAAACTGATTGTTAAGGAAAAGTTGGAGTTTTGCTTTTCTAATTGTGTTGATTCGTACTTTGTTGATATTCAGAATAATGTGCTTTACATTTTAATACTTGAATAAAAAGTTATGTTTGCGTTTGTGTTGGATATTCAATGTAGGCCCTAAATAAACCAGGTGCATCATGGGAAACCGAATATTAAACCTGTGTCCATTTGGAAAGTGTCCATTTGGAATGAGTTGTGGCCTTTAGTCAATCATTAATCATTCATTTTAGCCAGAACTGTTCCCCTGTAATATCAATACACTGCTCTCTGCTAATGCACTTTGTGCCATCTAGTGGGCAACATCGTGACCAGCACGACAGCTTGAAAATGCTTCATACTTTGTACCTAATTTTAGCTTATTCTTTACAAATGGGCGATGACGTGGCTTATAATTGGTCAGGTTTTTTTTAAGTACAGTCATGAATATTAATGGCTTAATGTTCCAGTGTACCAGGTAAGTATGAGTGATGCCCATCACAGTGGCTGAGATGCATGTCACACAAACTAAAAGGCCCTGGTTTGAATCCATCTGGGGACCTTTGTTATCATGTCATCTCCCTCTCACACTCTCTACATTTCCTGTCTGCCTCTATACTGTCAATTTAAGGCAGAAATACCCAGTAAATAGTCTTTGAATAAAAGGATTGTTAGGTGTCCTATGCTACCACAAATGAGGCTCGCAGTTTTATATCGAAAAAGAGATTACATAAACAATTTATAAATGCTGCTGAATGAATGAATTACGTGTTGTTCCTCCACTTCACTTCTCAGCACGTTCTCATTCCCAGGTCGTCAAATACAGATCTTCAAAAACCCCTGAAATACTTTAACTTCAGAAGTTTTACAGAGGCGGCAGATAGTATCCTGATTTTCTTCTCTCTTGCTCACAGCTGCAGACAAGAAGATACTGGTTAATTATAACAAATTATCAAAGCAAGCACTTGAATGTTAATTAATGTCTCATTATTCACCAGTTTTATATATGAAGTGGCCTATTGTCACACATTCAAATTCTTAAGGACCAATCAGTTTTCAGGCCAGATAAATAACAGGTATATTCACTTATAATCAAAGAGTTTGAGATATTGATTGAAACATTTTTGCATTTTGAGTGATTCTCATCTGATCATAATCCGAGTACGTTTACTCACTGATGTACACAAAATTAAAGCAGTATCTGAACTAATATAGGTTAACTTGTCTAGAGAGTAAAAAGAGCTGTCAGTCAATATGGGGATAGTGTATTCATTCAGATCCTTTATTTAAGTAAAAGTAGCAACTGACTTACCACAGTGTAGAAAAATACCCAAAGTAAACATTTTGAATTCAAAATTCTTAGTAAAACTATGTAAATAATATCAGCATAATGCACTTAAAGTATAAAAGTTACTCGCTGTGCAGGAAAAATCACCTCCGCCAGTGTTAAATTACTAAATTGTACTTTCTTCCTGTATTTTATATGCTCTCAGTCTTTAAATAGTAAAAAGCACAATACTCTCCTCTTAAATGTAATGAAGTATAAGTATAAAGTAACATAAAGAGCAGTACAAGTATCTCAGACTTGTACATGAAATGTTTTATACTTTTAATTGGTTCATGAAATGAGCCAGTGAGTCTTTACAGATATCAAAGCTACATTTTCTCGTCAGACCCATCCATACAAACCAATGAGAGGTCAGTGTTTGCACCACTTCCTCGCACATGGAGGTGCATCACCCAGTGGAAATGAACCGGTACTTTCCTTATTTTTACGTCACATATCTCCGGACCAGTCAATGCTCCGGACGCACATTACAAGCCCGATCGCAACCGTACACGGAAAGGCAACATCGTCACATACCGGAAAAAAATAATGGAAAGCACATCACACAGTCACTCCGGTGTTGTTCGTAAAAGTGCGGAAGACTGCGCCATTTGCTTGGACAAAATCCAAGCGAAGAAAACGCTAAAGTGCCGCCACTCTTTTTGCTCTGAGTGTATAGACTCGGTTTTCAAGTTGAAGCCCGCTTGTCCGATATGTAACACCTACCACGGAGAGTACACAGGCACCCAGCCGCCGGGCACGATGGCGGTGTCGCGCAGCTGGCAGCGCCTCCCTGGCTTTGAGCACTGCGGATGTCTCGTCATACAGTACAGTTTCCCTTCAGGGATACAAGGGGTGAGGTTTACCTGGAGCCATACGCCAAATGTGTGGGCTACATAACGAACCGATTAGTGCACTCTGACTGCACCTTTCAGGCTGCTTTTGATATCACGACCGTCCACCAGAGGGCGCTGTTGTTTGTTTTTTCTTTTGCACGGACACATTAAAGCATCTGGATTAAGTATGATAAAATGGCCGCCAAATCATATCCGCTTCGCCCGAGTATTACACACATTTCTTCCTCATGTTCAGTCCGTTTTTGTGAAATAAAACTATTAAACCCGTGTAAACCCGTTATGGAGGCGTCCTAGCCTATCCTATAGAGGAAGTGACTTCACAGGCGCAACCTTCGGTTGCCATAGAAACAGTGTAGGGGTGGAGGAGGACAAGATGTGCTGGACTGTTTGCCCACAACTCGCCTTGTTTTACAGGAATATGCTTCCCATTTAAAGAGACTTGCAAAAGTCTGACAACGCTCAACTGGGAGTGCAGCTAGTGATTATTTTCACTATCACTTGCTATCACTGCTGATTGTTTTCTTGATTGAAATTGATAATTGCCCATTTTATGAGATTAAAAAATTCCATCACAGTTTCCCATAGCCCAAGGAAAAAGATATTCAGTTTACAGTGATATTAAACAGAGAAATGCAGCAGATCTTCAGAAGCCTGAGGCAGACAATGTTTATGGTTTTGATTTGATTTGAATTTACTGAAATAGTTGCATATTGATTTTCTGTCAATCAAAAACAAATTGGTTACTCGCCTACTCTTTTTAGCTCTACTCACAACACCTTTCCTATGCGGCAGAAATTATTTCCAGTCCATTTTAGGGCATTGTTTTCTGTACAAGAAACCAGCGAACATCATCTCTCGTCTATCTGTGATAGAAAAAGCGCACAGGCATCAGTCTGTAGATGTCTAGGGGGGTCAGATGGGTAAAGTAGATGAAACCAAAGATTCGGCATTGACTTTCATCTTGGATCCACTAAAGAAACTCACTAGCAACCCAGTATTCTAAATTTTTCTACAGGATATAAATGGAAGAGATGTGTGTGTGTGGGAGAGGGACAGTGAGAGAGAGAGAGGGGTTATTTTTGGATGTTGTGCAACACTGAAAACATCTTAAAGTGTTGTATGAGGGAATGCTTTCTGTGTCTCAGGAGTATTTCAGAATCCACCAAGGACTGCCTCTCAGTGCCAGAAGAAGTCGACATTTGTGACTGTAGAAACAACCCAAAAATGTGTCCTTGTTTAATTCCTTATAGGGAGACGTTAGAATGAGCACTAGCCCTACAGATATGTTACAAAATGCATCAATGTCTTGTATTCCCACAATTCCCAAAGGGAAGATTTTCATCTGGACTTGAGCCTTATCATAAAAGGGCCACAATTGTTGATTAGTGCATGTTACATATATGCTGTTGTTTACTTTATTACAGCCTGAGCACCCAAACCCTGGGGTGAGATACAGCGGCACCTCTCGTACTGCCTTCCTGCCAGACTGCAAGGAGGGTGAGAAAGTCCTGAAGCTGCTGAGGAAAGCCTTCGACAGGAGGCTCATTTTCACCATCGGACGATCTGTCACCACAGGTCTCAACAACGTCATCACCTGGAACGACATTCACCACAAGACCAACATAGAAGGTGGTCCACAATGGTATGCACATTATTGCTGTTGAATACATTTTCACCCATTAATGTAGCCTACCTTGTTGGCTGTGATGAAGGATTTACAAAATAAAATTTTAGTTTTTTGTTTCTCTTATATCACAACTTATTTATGTAAACCTATCTGCACTATTAGTAGGCATAAATAAACACATTAAGAGTCTACAGCCATGCTAGCGGCTCCCTGAGGCTGTATTTGCTCAAATGTTTGCACACTATTTTTACTTGCATATTGCATATAGTTGTATATACTTATAGTGTATATACTTTTCATTTATAGTCTTATATTTTCTTTTATATTTTGTAATATCGTATTGTACTTCCACTTCTATACTCTCTACACTACATTCCCTTATGCTGCTGTGTCTAAAGGTACATCTTATCTTATCCTATCTTATTTAGGCTCCCCGGTGCTTTAAAAATGCTCAGAATGACAATGCTAACATGCGGATATATAGCAGGTAAAAAATATTAGCTAAACTAAACACACAGTCGTACAGCTGAGGCTGGTGGGAATGAGATTAGCTTTGCAAATATATGGTCATAAACCAAAGTATTGGACAATGACGGCGCTAGATGAAAAGTTAAGGCATCACCAAAGTTCAAAATGTAGAGAACCTGAACACATCTACCAAATTTCATGGCAATGCATTCAGTTGTATTTCACTCAAAACCTTGAATGTCAGCCTTACTGTGGCATGGCAAAACCAGCAAATAGTTGAGATATTTCAGATTGGACTGGAGTGGTGGACAGACTGGCAGATATATTCATTCCTAGAGCCACACTGCTGGCGTGGCCATGGATGGATGATTAAAAATATGATATAATCCAATTTTAGCATGCTTGGCTGCATGAATAGTATATTGTTGTTGTCGTGTAAAATCCTTTTTAAGTCCCAGTTTTTCACGTTTGGTTCGTCTCTGTGGGAAACAAGAACCTTTGGTGCTGCAAAGCCTTTTCAAATTTATATTGACTAAATATAAAATACAGGAAGCTGAACAGAAAGTTTTCTTTTACTTGTCCCAGAGATATAGTAACTATATTTTCTGTCCTTCTTCATTCCAGTTTTGGATATCCAGATCCAGAATATTTGTTTAGGGTTCAAGAGGAGCTCCGTCTAAAAGGAGTGACAGAGGATCCCTGATGGATGAAGACAATTAGAAGACATCCTTTGAAAAAAAATTAATACTGTGTATTGTTGCAAAGTTTCTGATTTTAATCTGCACTTTTTGCAGTCCTCAAGCAGGGAGCTTAATCATTGACACTTTAAGATGATTTTTTTCTTTGAAAGGGATACACAGAGTTCGTTATTATGTTGCGACATGGAGGTTACTGGCTTTTGCCCAAAGATTGTTCAACTGACTATGCAAAAAAGATACTTTAAACACACATCACAAAAAAACTACAGTAGATTGGTAAAAAAGGGGCTATACCACTGATCATTAGATTGAAATAATATCTCATCTTTTGTAACTCTGAATCACAGATCTGGTGCCTAAAACCAGACATATGAGATAGAACAGGAGGTAAAAGCAGTCTTCACTTAATCAGGCAAACAAATCCTGAGTACTAAAGAGACCAGAACAGTGTACAGGCTGGAAAAGCCTATACATCTAACCAAGAGCAACTGCTAGCTGTGTTCTATATAGGCATATTATATATATATATATATATATATATATATAGAATAATAATGTATTGATCCCACAACCTTTCACAACTCTGAAATATTTAAATGCTGGCTGAATGGGTCCACCAACATTACATGTTGTATATTACGCAGGAATAAGCCTGTTTCACAGTACCTAATGTTGGGTGACTGCTTTGACATTGTTCAGTATAATAAATTCAGGTTCTGTCCATACGTTCAACTAGTGAGGTATTCAACTGTATGTGGCATTGCCATAGGTAGTGTATTATGTTTAAAGGTTGAGTCTGGTGATATTCTTTTTTTTCTCTTCATGTCCACAAATCCTGTGAAAAGATCAAAAACAACAGTGAATACTAGCAAGTATTGCCGCTGTAGTCAAAGTTTTCATAAGATGTAGCTTATTCCTCTGAGCCACAGACCAACATTGTTGTTGAAAAACTAATAAGAACATCAATGGGTGACATGTTCTTTCATTACAGTGAACATGGACACTAGTTCATTTCAAGTTGACCCCATATACAAAGTCCTGCTGCTGTTAACATTCACTAATGCACCAGATCTGTGGCTGAAAATAGCCCCAAACAAATGCACCAACTCCTGTTGGAAAATGTTTGTTATTTTATACATTGTTAAAGATTTACATCTTCAGTATGAATGAATATGCTCAGGGATGACAGATGAACTCCCGCATTGTTGGTTTTGATCCACTCATGGGATATATATACACATAATAACCAGTCTCATTCTATAGCACAATTGATACAATTTTAATTCATTTTGTGCCTTTACATGAGTCAGTCATTGTACTGTATTAAAGGAAGTGTCGAACAAAAGGATCGTTGTATCTATCAAACTGTTTGAGCCCAAAAACATTTTTGATACGTTTTCCTGCCTTTTACCCGTCTGGTCCACTAGAGGGTGATGCGCTCCAAAAAAAAAAGAGTATGTAATGGCCTCTGCTTGGTATGCAGCTGTATCATCATCACAAACCCACAGTCCCACAGCACCTCCCAAACCTCATCACCCAAAGTCAGTGAGAGGAGCGGAGCATCTGCTATAGATGATGAGTCATGTGTTTCTATGGTGCTACGGGCAGTTTTAGCAGCAGCAACTCACATTGTATGTACAGCAGAGGGAACAGTTATCACCTTGTGTTTTACCACAATGAACTGATCATCTCTGGATTCCTGATGGCAGTGCAAGTACTGTTAAAGCTGCACTTGTAGTAGTTACATGCACAGACAGATGCAGGTACAATTTGAAGGTTGTCAAAGACAAAAGAGCTCAAGGCTCATCTGTTGTTGAAATGTTAAATGTTAGATGTGTAATAATTGTGGTAGCCATTAGTACAAATAAACCTTAAAATATTTTCTCTTTTCATGCACCAAAGCTGGGCATGTAAGTTCTGTTTATGCTTTTCACTGGGCACTCTGCAGCACACATTTACCAAGTTTCAACTGAATATGAATAACGTCCAGCTGATCTTCTTCTCAGGGCTGCAGCACAGAGTTATAGGATGAGGAATGAATACCTTTAACCAATATTTCTATATCAGAAAGAGTGCACATGTGATAAGGCGGAGTTACTGGACTTGGCCTCTTTAGTGCTTTGGTGTTTACAGGCTGGGGGCATTTCTGTGGCCTAGGATCTCAGGGCATCTGCTGCTCTCACAAAGCAGACCAGAACCCATCTGGTCAAATGTACCCCCCCCCCCCCCCCCCTCCTCCCCCTTTTTTCCTTTATTTTTTTTCCCCGTTTTCCCTTTTTTTTTTTTTTTCCTTTTTTCTTTTTTGTCCCTTTTATTATTTTTTTTTTTTGTGTCTTTTTTTTTTGGGCCTTTCTCTGCCAATTCCTTTTCATATCTGTTCTGTAAACTGAAAAGACGTAAAGATGACTATGGGCTCATCAGACATTTCATAAACGTCTGTGTCATTTGAGAAGAAGAAAAATGGAGCACTGAACATGTAAAACCTACTGTCTACTACTTTCAAAATTAACTTTCCTAACCTAATTTGAACGTAAAATGTTCCTTGTGAAAGGCTGAAAAGTGGTTCCATACAAACACATCCTCCCATTTGACATATATCTTCAGGTATTATTGTTTAAATGCAATTTATTTCAAAATATCTTTCTTAAACTAAATAAAACTACGGGCATTTATCTTTTCTTAAAAAAAGTTGGGTCAAAATTGATATTAAAATGCCCCTTTTCCCCCATCATTGTCCATCTGGACATCTGAAAATTGAGGCAAAGAATTACAGATATGTAACCAAAGCTATAAATATGTCTCAATAACTATGCAGAGCAATATTGTGGTGGATTAATTATGCATCAATGTAAATGGCCAGAGACAAGCCTCCCCTATATAATGGATTGATGACAGCATGAAAATAAACTCTCTGTGTATGGATTAAGACACATACATCTGTAGCTGCTTTCATTAATTTCCATCAAACGTCGTTCTACACTGTTGTGGCAGGATGACTTGAATATCGTCCTGTTAGGCACTGAAAATAGCACCAAGACTTTCTGGTGGTGACTAGACGGCCGCTCAGGAGGGGCTCCAAAGAAACACACAGATGTGCATACAGATCAGACGAGAGATGTGCAGTGTTTCCTGTACTAAAGATGATAAGAAAATCATTATGTGACAATGCAGAGCTGTTGTTCTCGCCCCCTCTACCCACTGTGCTCCTTAATTAGAGTGTTTCTGGCTGTGGGGAGAACCCTGGCACATCGCCTGCCTGCCTGCCTGCCTGCCTGCCTGCCTGCCTCCTCATCCTCTCATCCTCTGGCACTAAAGCCACACACATATCACAGATATACCTGTATATTTGGGGGCATAGTCTTCGTCTCCCTTCACTGTAATGAGGATCAGCTCCACTAGATGTAGCCTACTTTTGCATACCTTAGTAGGTATGTTTTTATTTTTTTTAAATATCTGCCCAGTTTCCTTTTTTAATGCCAACATTGACAGTGATAAAGATTCTCTGGCTTCCCCTGAATCTGTAAAAAAAATCTGTATATCCAAACCATAAAGGCCAAACAAGGATATTTCAGGCTGTGCTTGTATGTTAGGTAAATGGACAGGAGGAGGCTGAGGAGGCATCTGTCTCCACACACACTCTTTCTGTGACAGAATGTCAGCCCACACCGCTGACATGCTCATTCACTGTGCCTAAGGCTGTTTGCTTAAGAACAGCAAAGTGAAGGTGGGTGTGTGGGTGCTTGTGCTTCTGTGGCTTTTGTCTGTGTGCCCTTGACTGCATCTGTGCATACAGTATGTACGGATATGCACTAGTGAATACTTGAGCATGTGTGTGTGTTTGTTGAGGCGGTTTCTCACATTCTGTTCTCTGATTCATAGCCGGGGCTACATGGCTTTTTGTATGCCTGATTTAGCAGAACAGACCCTCTGCTTTTCTTAGTAATGCTGACAGATTTACTGACTTACTTCACCGACAGGACACAACAGCAGAGCTGGCAACTATTGGGGTCTTTGGCTGGGTTGTCAGCGTCACAGATTGAAGACTCTGCTCAAGCTGTTCTTCATTAGCGACAGCCGAGCTTCTCCTCGATATGAGAATAGCAGCTCCATCATCTGTCCTCTGTGAAAGAAGATGAAAACAATGTCCAGTAATTACCTCTCCAAATTAAAATCAGGGACAGTGTTGTCATCAGTTGTTTATCATGCTTTTATAGGTGTTTCTGTTCACATCACACACAATATTCAATCTCATAGTCTCATTCATGTGAAACTGCAGTAACTGGCTGCGCAAGAACATCGAAAAATAATATAACAACAAAGCTAAACAAAAACCCCTGCAAATACAGTCTAGTAAATATTTTCTGGGTGCACTGAGGAATGCCAAACTCCTTTGTTGTCCTTCCTGTCTGAATCCTCAGCCTTGGCCATCCACTCTCAGACTGCCTCATGTAAGAGCAATTAGCTGTGGCTGTCATGGCAACTAGCATGACCTTTCTGTCATTTTACAAACGAGAATCTCAACCAAGGTCTGACTTTCTTCTGAACAACTGCAACAGCTGTCTGGAGCTTTTTTCACATAAGTGAAACCACAGTTTTTAATTTCAAAAACTGGCTGAGGCTGGCAGGAAATTGTCTTGGTGAAGACACTGGGCGCGTCATGTCTCCACAGATATTATATTGTGGAAGTTTTAATGCAGGCTGGTATATTTTACACTGGAAGGTTGTATTCAGTGGCACCATTACTGTATGTGAGCCACATTGAGCTCTTTTATCTCTTCCTTCATATGGAGCAGATCTCATATCTGCATTCCATAAGTTCTAGTGAATGGAAAGTACAGTTTGCTACGCATATAAATCTAAAATTAGGATTCAAAATTACACATCAAATGCAAATAATGTATCTCTTTTGTTTGGGTTTCATCCCAATTTATTTACTCTAGACTGCAGAAGAAGAACTAATATAATTAGTGTTAACCAATTGTTTTTCAAGGGACTGCCTAATTGCAAATCTCAGAGAGAAAGCATCATTATTATATAAACATTTGGGCTTGATCCTGCACAAGTTCTTAAGGCCTAAATATAAAGTGTAAATATAAATGGCCTAGCTCATGAAAAATTGTGTGCTTGCCCAATTGTAGATTTTATATTTCTGTGCCAAGGTGTAGGCTGAAAAAGCATTCTCTGCTGGAGCTGAGTGCACTTACTGAAAGATTTTATTTACCCATATGTGATGTAACTATTTCTTGTACTATCCACGCAGAACCCTGATATAGATCCAAAGCAGATCAGGCTAAAGCTGCAGAACTATGAGGCAAGTTATACCAGTCTCTAACCAGTGTTTTTTGTCTCATGTCTCAAGTGTGTGAAGTGGGCACCTTGCTTCACCTGTGGTTTGTTCATGTAGAGACGTCATGCTTCCAGAGGGCTACGCAGGAGTCCTTACAATAAGCAAATGGAACAGCTGCACCTTATGGAAACAAACAGCTCACTCAGCAGTTTAGACGTTGAATCATAAGAGTAAACAGAAAGCTTAATCATGTCAGATAATTATAGCAAGAGTTGAGGATGTTGTGTGAATACTGCCACAGAATGTCCCTGTATGATACATAAATCAACGTGAGTCATAAGATGTATTTTCATATTCATTGCCTACTTGGTATCCTTTTTTTCAGATCAAAGCTTGGTCAGAAGAAAATTAAAGTAGCCATACCAGTAAATGTGGCATATGTCTCACAAACCAGAAAGAATAATGAAATCTTGAGGGAAGCTTTGAGTTTATCTCTGGAAAAATATTTGTTATATTCAAAATTCAGTTCCTGGCATACATACTGTACATGTCTAAATCAACAGCAAACAGAATTAAAGTTCCAGACTGCCTGCTTAATTTCATGATTTCCAAGACTGAAGATTGTTTTTTAAACCAAATATCACAAAACAATGAGAGTATTGTAACAGTAATATGATGTAACACATTAGTTAAACACAGTGTAGATCTATGAATATTTTGTCTACACACAAGAACTCTTTTGAACATCAAAAGCCATCTCAGTAATTAAAGAGAGAGATGGAGAAGAGGGAGAGAGTGAGCATTTAAGTATTGCCAATGTGGCATACTGATTCCTGTCACAAAGGTGCCTCTAAGCCTTCTACAGTCAGTATCAGGAAGGATAGCAACTGGGGGGAAAAATGCATATTTACTTATCAAAGATGCCCCCCAAGCAGCTGTGAATCAAAAACCTAGGAATATGCGAGTCAAAGAGAAGAGGAAGAAGAAACAGAGAATAAGAAGAAACAGCTTTGGGAGGGAGGACACAGACAGAGGGCGGATGAAAATCCTCCATATCT